TATGTAAGATATTGTAGTGTTAATTGACACGCATTTGTTTGCTCCATATAATGTAAAATAAATGCACTACCAAGTTCATTCTGTATGTAAACAAGAAAAATACATTTATGGTAGGTTCACAATGAAAAATGACAAATAACATACGTCTTTTGAAGTAGGGGTATACAGGAACATAGTGGAAATTCAGAAATTTAGGCCATATCCCAAAGACTGCTTCACCAAAATGTAACAGAACATCAAATTTATCATTTACACGTTTGCTGATAGATTTAGTGAAAATAATTAACCTGAGGTTTACTTCAATTGTGGCACCATTCTTCGTAAATATTGATGAACATACGAATATCGAATGTTGACTAAGTTACTTGACTTGCACCTTAAGACATTAGTTATCAAACGATCAAACATATTTTTAGTAAATGATAGAATATTATTTCAATTGCTAATATTCAAGTCTGTTTAAAATGAAGTTAAAGATAACCCTTGGATTAGAAACTACATGTATACTTTGTGCATGTGATTGCTTCCCATATGATAGTTAAAAGTAATGGATGAGTAATTTATATGAATATCATGTGCAAAAGTACCACAGGGTATTTTTTTGCTGAATTGATTGCTACCGTTCAGTCAGGTTCAGTAACTAAAATCAACATTCGAAAATAAAAATCTCAAAAATCTTTGATATCCAAAATAATTTGTGAGGTGGTTATTATGATGATAATACACATTTTAACGTATTAATTTTGAGTACATCTTGAACTCTTAACAATACACTTTTCGTGCATCTCGAACAAGGGAAGGTTCTCTGATCCAGCAATGTGTATTCCAGAAGAAAAACTTCACAAATATCAACAATTTTCATCGAGTAGGAGATTACATTCGAAATTACAACTTTCAAAATATTTGCTTCAACCAAGAATTGTAAGAACTTGAAATATGTTGTTAGTTTTTCAAACCGCATATCCCCATTCACGTTCTCTGACAAGGATTATCCATTTGAAACATGGATTTCATAGGTATGATTTTGAGGAATATCACTTTTTTACGTGGTGATATTGATATCTGCACGAGAGAGCGAAGCGAACGAGTGTATATATCATTATCCTACACTTAGTGTACTAAAAGTATAATAACATTAGAAAATAAATTTGATATTTATTGGCAAAATGAATATCCGGAGGATATCGTAACGATATACTCCGGGCGGAGGATATCGTGACGATATACTCCGGAAAACCCAATATGCGGAGGATATTGTGACGATATACTCCGCTTGTTGATTTCCCGCCAAATTGACTCTATTTGGCATGGAATTCATTTTGCAATGATATTATACATTTAGTACACTCCTTGTAAGTGTAGGATAATAAGAACATCCTATGTTTTTTTTCAGAATATCATTTTAATCTACTCGGTGATATTGATATATGCACTCGTTCGCTTCGCTCTCTCGTGCAGATATCAATATCACCTCGTAGATTAAAATGATATTCCTCAAAATCATAGGATATCCTATAAATATCACCTAGTAGATTAAAATTATATTCTAAAAAAGTCATAGGATGTTCACATTATCCTACGCTTACTAGTAGTGCACTAAGTGTATAATATCAGTGAAAAATAAATGTCATGTAATCCATATAATGTAAAATAAATGCACTACCAAGTTCATTCTGTATGTAAACAAGAAAAATACATTTATGGTAGGTTCACAATGAAAAATGACAAATAACATACGTCTTTTGAAGTAGGGGTATACAGGAACATAGTGGAAATTCAGAAATTTAGGCCATATCCCAAAGACTGCTTCACCAAAATGTAACAGAACATCAAATTTATCATTTACACGTTTGCTGATAGATTTAGTGAAAATAATTAACCTGAGGTTTACTTCAATTGTGGCACCATTCTTCGTAAATATTGATGAACATACGAATATCGAATGTTGACTAAGTTACTTGACTTGCACCTTAAGACATTAGTTATCAAACGATCAAACATATTTTTAGTAAATGATAGAATATTATTTCAATTGCTAATATTCAAGTCTGTTTAAAATGAAGTTAAAGATAACCCTTGGATTAGAAACTACATGTATACTTTGTGCATGTGATTGCTTCCCATATGATAGTTAAAAGTAATGGATGAGTAATTTATATGAATATCATGTGCAAAAGTACCACAGGGTATTTTTTTGCTGAATTGATTGCTACCGTTCAGTCAGGTTCAGTAACTAAAATCAACATTCGAAAATAAAAATCTCAAAAATCTTTGATATCCAAAATAATTTGTGAGGTGGTTATTATGATGATAATACACATTTTAACGTATTAATTTTGAGTACATCTTGAACTCTTAACAATACACTTTTCGTGCATCTCGAACAAGGGAAGGTTCTCTGATCCAGCAATGTGTATTCCAGAAGAAAAACTTCACAAATATCAACAATTTTCATCGAGTAGGAGATTACATTCGAAATTACAACTTTCAAAATATTTGCTTCAACCAAGAATTGTAAGAACTTGAAATATGTTGTTAGTTTTTCAAACCGCATATCCCCATTCACGTTCTCTGACAAGGATTATCCATTTGAAACATGGATTTCATAGGTATGATTTTGAGGAATATCACTTTTTTACGTGGTGATATTGATATCTGCACGAGAGAGCGAAGCGAACGAGTGTATATATCATTATCCTACACTTAGTGTACTAAAAGTATAATAACATTAGAAAATAAATTTGATATTTATTGGCAAAATGAATATCCGGAGGATATCGTAACGATATACTCCGGGCGGAGGATATCGTGACGATATACTCCGGAAAACCCAATATGCGGAGGATATTGTGACGATATACTCCGCTTGTTGATTTCCCGCCAAATTGACTCTATTTGGCATGGAATTCATTTTGCAATGATATTATACATTTAGTACACTCCTTGTAAGTGTAGGATAATAAGAACATCCTATGTTTTTTTTCAGAATATCATTTTAATCTACTCGGTGATATTGATATATGCACTCGTTCGCTTCGCTCTCTCGTGCAGATATCAATATCACCTCGTAGATTAAAATGATATTCCTCAAAATCATAGGATATCCTATAAATATCACCTAGTAGATTAAAATTATATTCTAAAAAAGTCATAGGATGTTCACATTATCCTACGCTTACTAGTAGTGCACTAAGTGTATAATATCAGTGAAAAATAAATGTCATGTAAAATAGTTCAATTTGGCGGGAAATCAACAAGCGAAGTATATCGCCACAATATCCTCCGCATATTGGTTTTCTGGAGTATATCGTGGCGATATCCTCCGGTTGTTCATTTTGACAGTAGATATCAAATTCATTTTTTTAATGTTATTATTTAGTAATTGATTAAGTGTAGGATAATCTTGATTGTTTTTCAATACTACCCTTGAAATATAAGTATGTAGAATATTACAGTGTAAATTGACACTAATTTGTTTGCTTCATATCATGGAAAAATAAATGCAGTACCATCTCTCAATATTCGTAAATAGAAAGTTCATTGTTTATTATTTAAACAAGAAAAATACATTTATTGTTGGTTCATGATAAATAAATGACAAATAACATACATCTTTTGATGTAGGGGTATACAGGGACATAGGGAAAATTCAGGCCATATCCTCAAGATTGCTTCACCAATATGTAACAGAATATCAAAATTATCATTTACACGTTTGCTGTTAGGTATATTGAAAATAATAAACCAGAAGTTTACTTCAATTGTGGCACCATTCTAAGTAATATTTATCACATACGAATTTCAAATGTTGACTTAGTTACTGAACCTGACTGCGTTGTGTGTTTTTGTGACACGTTTTTGCATGATTGCATAAGCACATACTGTTAGTTTATATTATAGTTAAACTATAATGTAATACTTAATGAAAGGGGCCATTTTATTTGTTCAACCCTCGTACAGACCACACTTCTTATTCATGTCAATAATATATGTAATAAATCTGCTGTTTTACTTGAAAACACAGTCTTATTCCCTAAAATCTCATCAATATACTGGACACGTAAGTGCAAATATGGATTAATTAATGAAAATTGTTTTATTCATGACAAAGCAGCTATTATTTGAGATTGAGTGGAGTAATAAGACACGACTCACGATGCAAGAACAAAACTGATTGGAGAAACTACAAATGCCAAGGTCGACGATAGAATCACCTGTGAGAAATCAACTCGGATTACAAACGACGCTATTACTGATAGAACAATGGAGTCCGGACAATAGTGATATCGATGCCATACTCACTCAAAATACTTTAATACCACTGGAAGTCTATATTTTGTTGCGGAATCGGTAATAAAATCTTTGTGAAACACTTGATTAAAGTGTAGCTTTGTATTTGTTATTAGCACTATAAGGGATATTATCACTCCTGAGGGAAATCATCATCAGTTTATTTCAACGTGTTGTGCCATATTTGCGCATGCACATTTTATCGTTTATACAGGAAGTGATTGCCATTAAATGAATGAATGAGGGCAGAGACCGAGGCAAAGGTTCATTAAATCATTGACCATTCATTGTGACATGGGCTTTAAATCCTTTTCATCCAAAGCAAAATATTTTGTACAATGTCACTAAAAGAATTGAATTCAACGAGGAACTTTTGCAGTTGTTTTTGCAAGATCAACGTTTTCACCTGCATCAGCACCTTGTTAGCTAACAATATCAGAATATAAGAGGCCAACGTTTCTCTTAATTCCGTTGGTTAGCTCATGCTTTTGAATCTAAGATATTTATCCATATACTATTGCACAGTTTTCCCTAGATTGCTTATTTTGACGTTTGATAATCATATTTTCACTTCCTCGCACATAAACTAATTGTCATTCTCAGACTGTGAGTGTTCAAGTCATAAATACTGAGACAAGAGAGTACCATGCGTGACATAAATTTATTTTCTCGAAAACAAGTTGAATCCTTGTGTTTTTTGTTGTTTTCAGATGTTGCAGATTCCCCAGTGGTCTCGCAGTTAACGACGTTCAACAATGATGTACATATTAGTCGTATGGTGTAGCTTTATGGTTTATGTTGCAAATGGTAAGTAAAATATGAGATTTTGAGCTGCGTTAATTGTTTTTTTTATCAATATCCCATTTTGCAACAGTCCACTTATATGCAAATGCAACAGTATAGATTATTAAAGACATAAAAGGGTTTCATTTATGATTTTGGATTTTGAAAACTTTTTTCTGGAGACTTTCAAAACACATACTCACGCGTGATAGTATAAAAGTATTTATCAGTTTGCTATGTTCAAAATTATCAAAGGGATTCCCATTTAATTGGATACGTGTTTTCCCCTCTACAGCGGCTATTGATAAAAAAACAGTTCTATTAGGTCAATTCAAGAACTAGGTAACCAAAAACTATAATTCAAAGAAAGAAACTGTGTTTATCGCTCAAGGTGAAGAGGTTTGTTAACAATTGAGAAAAGACACAATTTACGAATTACTTAATTTGTGGAAAATGTGCAAATTACTATAATATCTGATGCCATGGATGGATATACTTTAATTGATCTTGAATGTCTGACGTTTTGAAAATCACACACACGCAAATTGTTAAGTTATTTATTCTACTAATTAACGTTTGTAATCGAATGAAGAATAATATCAGAAAAATTAAGTACGTGACCAAAGCGTTTACGAAAGGCAAATATGGGAAGTGTAGGATCTAGATGGACGTAATCCATGGACAGACGGTTTCTGTTATAATATAGGCCTACAGGGTGTCCCGAAAGAAATGTATGGTAACAAATTTTTTTGTCACATCTTGCATTATTGTATCAACAAATATTTATTATCCGACTGTGAAACTTCTTGTTTTTAACGTCGACATATATTGCAATGTCTCGATCCATTACGTACTGCAAAGTCCTATGCATGTATGGTTTACAGATTTTGAATGCAACAATGGTTTAAGGAAGGGGTCATGAGACACTGCTTTTTTGCGTCATTGATCATCTATATAGTAATTGTTGATTTTTTCTTATGTTCCTGATTGCATCGTTCAGATTTTCTACTGAGTTGACTTCGTTGTATTTCCAGATAGTTTTTTATAGGTTTGGATTTGGTTACTCCAATCTTGATTTGTGCAGTGATTGTACAGTGATCATCGATATAGTAATTGTTGATTGTTTTCTTGGAACTGTGTTTTCGGATCTGTTTCATTTCATTCACCGTGCATGAATAATTGTGAATCTACTTACACGATAACATATTTGCTATACAGCAAGCAAAAATTAAAGCTATCGTTCCAGGTATGGTATACAATAAATATACATTTGCTTTAATACGTATTCCTTTCTTCATGAAACATTGATGCTTTTTCCCTATCACCCAAAGCACCAAAGAGCAGAGGAATAAATTGGTTGATTCAAATGCGCAACATTAATGTCATCGGTCACTGCCAATAAAAGTAACTTTAAATTGCAACTCTAGGTTTAAATGTATAGACCACAAGTCATTAATTTGGCAAAGGTGGCTTCAATTAAGGATAGATATTATTACAATAAGTGAAAATTCTGGCATTCATCAGAGAGTTTACAAAACTGATTTGACGAAAATAACACTTTAAAATACTGTTGACATTGATACTTGTTTTGCCCCATGGGAACATCAAAAACAGTTTTTGCAAAGATTCATTAGGACACAAGTATAAAATGGAAGAAAAACTGCACAAAACCAATTGCGCAATTCTAGCACTAGGCAAAAATCAATTCTAGATTGTATACTTTAATTACTATGCTAAATGAATGCTCATTTTGAAATCACGTGGGAAATGTGGGAAATGTTCAAAGTCAATAGTAATTGTCTACCAGAAACATTTCATTTTGAATCGTGTCTCTTTCTATTTAGTTCCTCAAGTGGTGGAAACTTTTGAGAAATGAATTTCGAGTTTCGTACGTGTTAACATTTCAGAATGACTTATACATACTTCTCCCTTATCATCTGTGTCAAGATCTTACACATTTGGGATTTATTGTTGTCTACTTAGATCCAGTTTTCAAAAGTTGCGAAGTGACATTGTAAAGAACACTGTCAAATACGAGAATCCTAAGGGAATGTGAAAAGTAATGGCTATAGAAGGGAACCCTCGGGAGCACCGCAATTAAAGCTTCAAACATCAAATGCTTTTTCGTGATTAGACTTCAGAAATAATCTGGTCGCAATTGTCAATTCAAGTAATTGTGATTATTCTCTACGGGGATAGACCGATTTGGTCATTCTTTTTCGTAGATTAGGATGTATCGTTGACTTATAAATTGCTTTAGTCGTTCTGAACGCAACACGAAACCCTGATATAAGAAATATGTCAATTTTTCGACATTTTATTACAATGTTTCATTATACAGGAAAAATGTATTTGAAAATAGTATGGAATTCAAAAATGTCTAAAGCAGGCAGGTGTCAATGCAACCGATGCCACATGTTCAGTTGTTGATCAATTGAAATAGCTTCAGCATTTAGATTTTGATTGTGATAATAGTTTCTAAAAGCTGGACAGGTTTTTTGATGTAGTTTTTGTGAGTTAGCTCATAGTTTTCGGTATTGGGAGTTTGTATTCCTCATAAATGGTTACGTTTTTTTGCTGCATACAACTTAAACTGACAAAGGACAAGGTGCAATTATTGGCAAATATCCCTATGGTCAAAATGAATCATTCGTAGGTGTAACATGAAGAATAAAATGTCATATAATACTTTGGAAAATATTAAAGTGCTCGGACACACATAAGCTGAGATAGGGATCATTTCGTTCAGTAAGGTTGTATTGACTTACATGGGGCTGTGCACCATTGACTTAACATGAGGATATCAGCAGATCCCAATAGAGGCCATTGGTTTCCATTGATTATCACAGAAATACCAAAAATACACTATGACCTGAATCGATTGCAAACTTAATAATTTAACAATACGACACAAATGGTTTATCTCATCAAATGTGCAAATATGAAGTTTGCAATCGATTCAGGTCATACTTAAAATTAAAAGATTGTACATTTTTTCATCATTTTTTCCCTACAAAATGGCTATAGAAAAATGCTCCAAAAACAACTTTTACACTTATCAAATATCAAAAAAGTTTGTAAAAACCAAAGATTATACTATTATATTTCATTATGTAGTAACATATTTGGATAAGATGCAGGGATGCGTAGGATGTAAATGGATTTTGACAGACACAAAAATACTTCCTGGTTTGGAATCTATGCCTCTACACTTCATGATTGAATTATGACCCTAATAAGTGGCCTATACATCAATACAGTGCTGAATATAGGTCAACAAGATATTAGTGTGCATATAAATGTAATAATTGAAGCAGAATACTCATTTTGAAAAATCAGATGAATTATTTTTTTCCCATGGGGAGATCCCAATGGAGGGTGTATAAGGTCCTTTGTATTTTTCACTCATTTGGAGATGATTATCGATCTCTTTTGATTGATTCTCAAGAAAAATGTCAACGTAATGTAAGGTAGCAAAGTAAGTCACCTTTACACATCCATCCATATTACACTGATAACGTATATTCATTGAATGGACAACTTGGAATAGAAGTTCCAAAAACTTGTTAACGACATCACAAAAAATAAAACTATTAACCATGTCATTCTAGTCAAGTGATTTACAAATGAATATCTGTCTCTTACAAAAGAAAATAATTTGAGAGAAAATCAATACTAGTAACATATGACTTATGAAACCTAATAATAATGGTAGCACCAAATGAAAAGGCATACTTCAGACACGATATTACTCTCACATCTGGGACCTTGTGGAATTAAATGACAAGATTTATGCTTCAGGCCATTTATTTTCTTCTGTTTTTAGTCACTGTTTTCCCCTTAAAGACCCTTTGGGTTATTTTTGAAGGATTCAATAGACTTGATGTCAATATATTATGATTAATCTGGGATTTTACTTTCCACTTTATGATTAAAATCATCCAATCAAACCCCGAGACGAAGTAATTATAAATGAAAAATCAGCACTTGATATGCTCAATATACGCATGGTCTTGCTTATAAATAATCAAAGGTTATCTTTTTGATGTCAAGAGAAAATCGTTTTTTTTTCAATACATACAATGTAATGCAATTACTTATGAATCAATTTGCAAATGTTCAAAAGTCATCCATGGACATATCGGTTTTGAATTGTGAAGGTAAAAGATTTGTAGGATCTGAGTCTCAGGTAGGATGTGTAAATTACATAACTTCTTGGAACGTAAGACTACAGATTGGGATATTGGGGTTCGTTGTCCTTACGATTGCTCACGCTACAATGTATGCATTGTGTAGTGTTTGGTTTAAATGCCCCTTGTACTTTGTCCTACATCTAGAATTGCATTCACTTTTTATAATTAAGGGTGTCAGGATGAACATTACTACAGCGGTGAAAGCAGAACTGCGGGATATTTCTGGTCACCTGACTTTGATAAGCCGTACCCTCCTCTTGTGAAGTGTCGGTTCTTCTTTGAGGGATCAAAGGACGAAAGGATACGTTTCACATTCAATGACTTTGACCTGGAAAATGGGACAAAGGAAGGGTAAGTTGAAAAAAGTTATCAATCACCAAATATCAAAATTGATTAAAAAGATCCTGGGTCGTTTGTAAAAAACACACACAACCACAGCAGTACGCGGTACCGGTGTAAAAGGGTAGGAGGTCCTATCAAATTATGGTACTCCTCTCCATTGGTTTATATGGTGACCTAAATAAAACTCTTTCTCTTATTATCTTATACGCAATCAGGGCCAGTAAGGGCCATTAAGAAAGGGGACCATAATCCCTGAGAGACCATCATTTCTTTCACACCGGTTCTACTGGTTACATATTACTCGGATAACAAAATATCAGCTGATTAGATGCATAGTATAAGAATGGACCTATCATCTGCGTGTGACGAAGTGCTGTTTTGTCACGTTTTTAGCAGCAGCCAATCAAAAGCTTAATAGCTCTGCTGATGTACACACTACATGCCAAACTTATATTTGATGTCGTTTATTACAGTGGAAGAGTATATATACAGGGTGGTCCAAAAAGTGAACTGTTGCAACAGCTGAAATTTCCAGTGAAATTGCAACATACCCTCAATATCTCCATTAATCATGGACCAATTCTCATGAGATATGGCTCAAAATACTGAATATTAATTTTGCTTTTGTTTTTTGTAAGATATTTATATGAAGGGCATCTCAGATTTCGGGTCAAAGGGGCTACGTTTGCCCCCCTCTAACCGTTTGTGAAGGTAACATGCCCCTTAACTGTTGAATGTTTAAAACTGCTTCAAAATGGTAAATGAAAGTGTGAAATGTGTTTTCCGCCCAAATAGTGTCTCATTTGTCATTTGGTATGGTTTAAACTTATATCTCTCACTGTAAGCTTGTTAGGCATGTTTCTTCAAAATTCAAGACTGAGAATAAATTATGACATCAACAAAAAATTAGACATTTCTCCACAAGATGTAATAATACGAGCTAATTCATATATGTTATTAAGGAAAATATAGCCTGTTGGAGGGGTTCACCTTTTTTGGACCACCCTGTAGAGATTCGATCCCTTACTTAATTTGCAGGAAGATCCAGAAACAATGGATTAAGCGTATTCTGTCTCATTAAACCATTTTCATTTCCGAGTTCGATATTTATAATCATATTCCTATTCTTCTTTCTTTCAGACAGTGTGTGAAGGACTACGTTGACATATACTCAATAGATGATACTGATTTTAAAAATCCTTTGATCAGAGTATGTGGTAACAATAAACCAAATCCAGTAGTAACCCTCCACTCCAGAGCAGAAATAGTATTTACGGCTGATCGGTACTCTAACGGGCAGAAAGGCTTCCATATGAAATATGAATTTCTAGATGAGCGTAAGTATCTTATTCTGCCTCAGAACACAGTAATATATAACTGTTTTTGAATAAAAAACCAAAGCAGAATAAAACAATGGCAGATCTTTCTAGGAAGTTTAATTTTAAAGAGATGGCTACGATTTTAGATATTTGAAAAGTTTCGCCATGGAGAGACGCTATTTGATCACTAACAACTAACAAGTATTTTCAAAAGACCAAATCCTGCAAATTGATTTGCTGTCACGTTTAGATTGAATCGTATGAATCCTAAAAATTGTCAAATAACTCTGGAAGCACATGTCTTCTTTCTCATTTATCATGAAAGATCATAAAAGTTTTGGATTTATCAAACCAATTAGCATCGGACAATCTATCTGCTTTGACTGACTCTAAGAGCGCCAAAATGTAATTACGATCACCAGGCTTATTCTAGTTGCACTTCAAAGTGTCTAATGGGGATATTGCAAAATATAATTCACAACATTGACGGACGAGTTGCTGAATTTTCCAATATTAGTAATGAAATTACAGGGTGACTCAGGAATACAATGAAAGTTGCTTTAAATAAGACACATTTAGACTTCAGTTTACACCCACTACGTTAAGAAATGTCATCATCGGAGAAGAAAAAAGTATCCTTTTTCATAAAACTGATCATATTTTCAACAGTTTGAGATTGTTAAATGTTTATGAAATTATCGATACAACTATTCTAACCCAAACACTTCAATTTCCAAAATAATTAGAAGAACTCAGAGAGTTGTGAAAAGTATATGGCATGAAGGGCGTGTTAAAAGTACATAACAACAATATCTTGGTGCATTTCGAACACAAAATGCGCTTCACCTCGTCGTTTTTTTCTGGATTCCTCTACGTACCTTAATGGGAATCGAGGTTGATGGATGGTGTAAAATTATTATTAATAATTTATTCACGATTTCACGACGATATTACTCACAATGTCGGAAATATGAAATATTTATGTTAAATTTTTAAATCGTCGTGCTGTCAAGAAGTTTTGAGAAGTTCCAAATCATGTTCAGATGAAATGTTGCGAGTTATTGCAACTTTGGGCATTTCTGCGTAGCATAGTCGATGTTTCTATGAGAGAAAGGTTCATATTCTGTCAACACGTCGAAATAAATGAGAACTCACAAACTTAGCGCCAATATAACTGCAATTTTAATTAAACCGTGTTAATATTAAACATGGTCAATCTTTTAATAACACCATTATAAACATCTTATCAGTCAGAAATTGAAACTGTCACCTCGAATCTTCTATCTACAATGCTATAAAACGTGAATGATTTTTTTTTTATTCCTTTTTATTCATTGAAAAAACATTTGAAATCAGTTACATTAACATAATACAATATACATAATATCATAGGAGTCACACAATTTTCCATCATATTCTTTTAAGGCATCCAACCACACTAGTCTAATCAATTCTAGTACCCATAATTTCCCACCTTTTTTCCCTGCCTATTTGCTTATCAATACAATAAGATATTACGTTTGCTTTAAATCCTTTAAAGGTAGGTCTTAACATCGAGTATTTGCATAGATACACATATCTTTTAAATATACTCCATATATTAAATCTCTACAGGCATAATATAGAATATTCGTTCACTCGACTCCCGTCTTTCTGAACACAGGGAAGACAGTGCTTGCAAAGATGAAATATCGACCCATACAATTACCTCACAGTACCGAATTACAGTTCAAATAGTCACAGTACATTAATTTGTAGTTTTTGGCAATGAGTGGTATTTCCAGTGCCTCACTATGTAGTTTACGGTGTTTCTCTAAATCTGTGCCAATTATTGATATTCCCCATCTAATATTTTTTATTTAGGATGGTCACCGTTCACATCAGACCAGCGTTGTGGGTCCACCTATCTCAACGGGAGAGGAGGAGTGATTGCTTCACCCGGGTATCCCTTTGCTTACGATGAAGGGACTGAATGCTCCTGGATGATCCGTGTGGAGGAAGACAAAACTATTCTTCTGAATATTGTTGAGCTGGATATAGGGGTAGAAGGTGATATTACGTGTTTATGCGTTCTTATATTAAGTGTTATAATAGACTAATAGACATGATAGAAATCAGTTACTGTAAGATGTGCAAGGTATACTCCACATATTATATTTCAATAAATGAATTTATTCAATTATCCAAAAACAAAGTGAGAAAATTAATAGAAACATTCTATAAGCCATGATCGAGTAAGAGTCGTAGTTGATTAACTTTGCCTTTTATTTCAGTTCATTGCGACAGGTCAGCTGGGTATCTTGATATTTATAACGGATTTGCAAGTCTCACTAGGCAATCGGATTTGGTCCAACGATTCTGTGGACAGACTATTTATTACAAGGGTGTTAAAGACCTTAGCATTCGTTCAAAGTCATTTAGAATGACCCTCAGGTGAAAATATATTTACCTACCATGTTAGTTTTAAATGCATTGTAATGACCGATCGATCGAATTATAGCATATTATTAACTTGCAAACGGTCACATCGCTGTAAAGTTTTTAAACGTTTTAGATCCACAATACTCATCCAAAGTGACACAAGCTCCTCATGTAATGTGTACGTGCCAAACTTATTACGACAGTTTGTTGATTCAACATGCAATCCATTCATTTTAGGTGGTTTGGTGGCAGAATTCCTAATTTGAAGGGCAGCACGGGATTCAAGCTGTCTTGGACTGAAGTTTATATTCCACAAAAAGGCGGTAGGGACTACACACAATACTCATGAAAATATCTAAAAAATGATTGTGTTGTATAGGATATGTCGATTAAAATGCAATCGATTAATTTAGAACAATGCTTAACTAGTCGTGTTCAACCACCGATCACCAAATTTTAAGCATTTCTTCCTGATGGCGTATGTCAAGGGAGTCGCCTTTTTATTTTCCAAGCATTTCTTCTCGGTGGTTTGTGTCAAGGCTTTTGATACCGAGAGTCGGTTATGTATTCGCCTTTTTTATTTTCAACAGAGCTTTGTCCCGGTTTTCAATGTAGAGGGGGCAAATCCTGCGCTGATTCAGTGGGTTTGCTGTGCCGCAACTTGCCAGAGTATTGCATTGACGAGACGCTTACTTGTAATGATCTACCCAACTGTGACATACTGGACCAAAGTGACGAAGCTCATTGTAAGTAAAGGAGAATGAATAGTGATTTATGTAATATGGAAATTGTATAATAAACTGTCCATTTTAGTCCAACATTGGAATTCCTATATATAGTGTCAAAGATTCGAACATGACTTTATTCACGCCTTCTATAAACTGTAAACAAAGTCAACATTTCACCCGGGGTATATTCGCGAAGAATACCCCTGGTAATACGTGTAATGTGTGACGTCATAACGGCGGGTCGTAGTAATGGCGGACCATACTGAATATTCCAAACATTTTGGTGAGTTTTCATGTTCGAATCGTAATATAGACCTTGTCGAATACACCCCTTAGGGCTAGGCACAATAGCTTTCGAACCCCTCACTTCCTTCGGTCGTTCGGGGTACAGAAAACGTTTGTGCCTAGCCCTGCGGGGTGTATTCGACAATACTGCCCCTGCTCTTCGGTCTCTATTTCTTAAATAAAACAGTAATTATTACACTTAGCGAATTCCACATAAGATATGCTGCATGTAAAATCTAATCGATTGCATCAAGCCATATTGTTATCATATTTCTAAAACTAAACGTTACGTTGTATGAAAAAATGTATATTGGTTGAAAAATGGTTCTGTAAAATTGAAAAATCAATCCTTCATTGGTTTTTCCGGAATTGAGTTTGATCAGTTAACTAAACTTGAACCGATAATGATCAACATGTGAATGGTAAAACACAACTGACCGAGCCGATATCACAATTTACACAAATGACCGTGCACTAAAATGTTAAAAGGTGAAATGCAAGTTAATTTAACATACGTTCATTTTTTCAGGTTTGACTCCATTACTTCTTGCAATATGCATAATACTCCCCCTCTTAGCAGTTGTTGGACTTATTGTGGCAATATGCATCTTCAGAAGAAAGCGTCGACATCGAAACACAACACACAAAACTGAATCAAAGAAAGTAAAAGAAAGAGATAGAACTTTAGAATTAGAGAAACTTGACACAAGTCCAAGATTGACAGCCAGACCAGGGGAACAATATTCGAAACCAATTCGTAAGAAAAGCTCTTGTAGTCCCAATGGTGACACTGAACGAAAGGGCTCAAACTCGAGTTTACGAAAAAGTTTGACAAATGAGCTCAATGTGAAGTTTACTCATACGAATCGGCATACGATTTCGCCATCTATTAAAACCTCTCATAAAAAGGATTATAAAAAGTCACCCGATCCACCAATGTATAATTACCATCCTGTCCCAACATCAAACGGACCAGGATCATGTGGTATAGGCCCATACGATGGCTCTGATGTGGACCAAGACTTAGTGGATTTTCCTCCTCCACCTTTGGATTATCCTCCTCCCATAGATTACCCAACATCGCCTGGAAGTCACACATATGTAAATAAGAACGCTCAAGTTATATCGCCAAATAAATCTAACCACAGTATTGTATAGTAGTCCTCGCTCACGCTGATCACTTTGTGCATGTACACATTAATATTCTTCGTAATATCACGCAATATCTAGAACGACATGTAATAATGCTTTTATATGTAAGTAAATAAAACTGAATAAATAAATAAAAAATGAATAAACGAACCTAAAGTGAATCTCTATTTCTATTGGATAAATACGGCCAACTATGTGCTCCATTTGATGCTTTAAAAGGGAAAATTTTACATATTTGTAAAAAAATAATTAAGAAAAACAGACGTTTGAAAATTGACAAAATATTTAATATTTAAAATTTAGAAAGCTTTAAATAAAATCATCGTGGTAAGCCATGTTAGCTCATTTTCCCTCAGTTAATAGCAAGATAAACAGCGCTCGCTGATAATCTAATAAGCAAGTCGGAATTTAAACAATTTGTGTACTCTTTGAAAGAAGATTTAAATTGGCAAAGGTTACTCATCACTTTACCAAACCTAAACTGTGATTTATACTGTTTGTTGGAAGTGCATCCATTTGAAAGAATAACACAGCATTCAAAACTATGACAATCAGAACGAATTTGAGACGTTTACAATTTTTCATTATAATTATATTAATTTTAAGGAGCATTGTTATACATAAACATATTTGGTAGGGAATCATAGTGATATTTGGCATGGAGTCATAATCACTATCTCATTCATCCAATAAACAAGACATTTGGAGGAGAGAACAATTTATTCTCAGTGAAAAGAACATTAGAATTAATCGATGAAATATACATTTCCATACGTATTATTTTGTGAAACGCTTAACTTCAACATACTATACAGTGGGACGGCACATTGCCTTAACCCATCAGTTTTATGACGTGCACTTCCGCGTGGGACAATATTTTTACAGCGGGAATTTCAAGTTTTTGTCAGTGTAGGCATAAAAAGTTGCGGTCCTCACGCGTTTTTTAATATTTTCATTTAAAACTCGCAAGAACGGTGCTTTGAATCTAGCTCTATACTCTTTCAAAACTTCATGTATAATCAAGACAGTTGAACTGTTTATTGTTTTGTCGTGAAAATGTTATTTTTTAGTTTATTAATAGTACGTTCACGTACGTACACAATAGGGAGTTTAAGCTTTTTTTTATTTTTATTTTTTTTATTTAAGCAATTTTTCCTTGGCTGTGTCCATTTAGACATTAATAGCCAAATTTTTACATGATATTAATAGGCAAATTAAGCATTAATTAACTTCCTATGTGTGTCATTCCCAGAAATGTTAGCTTCTATCGGTCTCTGACAGCCATCTCCAGATATTTACAGCTAAGCTGTAACAAGGAAAAGTTAGTTTCGGGGGGATAATATTTGGAGCCATATAGGAAAGTATTTATCTTACAGGTTTGATTCATGTCTTTAAAATGAAGTAAAGGGTAATCTTTGGACAATATTTCTACTAACTGATTGATGAATGTTTTAGTGAGATCACATCTAAATAGAAAGTGTCTTAGTGTTTCTGACTCTTTTCCACAGGCACAGATAGGAGTAGGATGGGTGTTAAAATTATGTGAGTGAAGTTGTGAGTTTAGAAGCAAATCACATCTTAATCTATTTAAAAACATTTCTTGATTTCTGGTAATTTCCAGAGAAACGGTTGATATAATATTATTCTTAGAGGCGAGACTTCTAATTTTTGATTTAAAAATTTCAATGCTTTCAGATTGTTTTGTTTCAGCAGAAATGTTGTTCCATTCTGTTATACACTTAAATACGCAAGATCTCGACAATATAGTGCCACGTGCCCTTGGTAGTTTAAAGTCGAAGCGATTCCTGAGGTCTCTGCGATGGTCGTCAATGCGTCCGTAGCGTTCAAAGATTTGCTGGATATAGGCGGGGCATGATTTTCGAGAAACTTTATACATGAGGTTAAAACGGGGGGGGGGGGTGAGCGTCTTGTTTCGAGTGGTAACCAGTTTAAACAGTGCAAAACTTTAGAATTGTTAGAACCGTAAATAGAACCTGAAACGATAATGCCTGCTTTATATTGTAAAGTATCAAGAAGTCTGAGCTTTGTCATGTTGCCACACCCATAAATAATATCACAAAAGTACAGATGGGGTTGAATGAACGATTTAAGCAGTGTGGATAGGTGAACTCCCGAGACCTTAAGTGGGTTTAGAAGTTTATCGACGCGAGACACGAGCATGCTTATATGAAAGTTAAAAGTTAACTTGGTGTCCAAAATGAGTCCTAGGTGTTTATGGTAAGTGGGGTATATAAGTTTGGGGTATGGGTTTGTCATCAAGATCAAGTGGATAGTCGTTTAGGAAGGAATTATTGCCGTGGAAGATGACACGTGCACTCTTTGATGCGTTAAATTTGAGGTTCCATTTGTTTGACCAAGAAATAATGTTGTCCATGTCCTCTTGTAGGGTTGTCATTTTTTCAATATAGAGTAAGGACAATATAGAGTAAGGACAATAGACTGATGTATCATCGGCATAGATAAAGCACTTATTGGTAATATTATCGGGCATATCATTGATATATAAGAGGAAGAATAAGGGTCCAAGAAGAGATCCCTGAGGAACACCGGCATTGATATAGTTTTCAGGTGATAGCTCAGAGGTGTGACCATCAATAAAACACGTACTTTCAGATTTTTCAAATATGATTTGGTGAGACTCAGTATATCCGCGCCAAGACCATATCCTTTGAGTTTAGCGTTCAAATGAGTATGTGGTAAAGTGTCGAAGGCTGCTGAGATATCAAGAAAGACTCCAGACATTTGATCACCATTGTCGATACAAGTAGTTAAGTAGTCAATAATTGAGATAAGTTGTAGCTGAGAGCTGTGACCGGGGAGGAATCCGCTCTGGAATCTATACAGTAGATTATTATCGGTTATGTGCTTGAAGAGTTGATTGAATATAATACGTTCAAATACTTTAGACATTGAGCTAAGAAGAGTAATAGGACGATAGTTGACAACATTAGATTTAGACCCCTTTTTATGGATGGGAACAATATTGCCTATTTTCCATGATTCTGGATATTGTTTCATATCAAAGATTTTGTTAAAAAAAAGTGCAAGTATTTCAGATAATTCTGGAGCTGCTATCTTTAACATGTTATTGCTTATTAGATCGGGTCCTGATGCCTTAGTCTGTAGATAGTTTATTCAAGAGAATATTACATCTGCTAGGAAAAGCTACTTTTGGCAGGTCATTTTCTAAGTGATATTTACTTGTGAAATGGTTGAGGAGGATATTTGCCTTATCTTTGCTGAGACTGACAGGATTGTCAAATTGGTCATTCAAAACAGGGATTCTAGATCTACATCTAGAACCTAAAAGATTGGTTATAATACTCCAATATTGTTTGTCCCCAGGGTTAAGGTGAAGTTTATCAATTTGTCGTCGTTTAAGGGAGTTTAAGCTTGTTTAACCTAAACGTGAAAGGAATATATTTAAGCGATGCATTTGTTTGGGCGATTGTTCGAACGTATAGGTTGGCGTTTCGACTTTATATGCAATCCTAAACTCCCCATTCTCTTAAAAACGTGTAGCATGACCTCCATATTATACAAAAACTACTACCTTGTTCAGGCGGAATTTGAGCGAATCGCATATATCTTAATATTTATGTTTATGTTAATACATATAATATTAAACATACCTAGATTTAATTTATGGAGTTTGCATTTGATCTGTAATCATGATCAAGCAAAAAATAAATGTTATGACAAATGAAGTATATTTATTTTGTAAGCAATTTGACATTTGTTGTGGAAAATTATCTACTTTATGACTTTCATTAATAGTTGAACATTTATAGAAACACACAACTGATATTGAAATACGTTGTCTCAAAACTGTAGACTGTCGCAAAGGCTTCCAAGCATTCACATTCAACATGATGCTTTTTCCATTGGTCTTCATTTTGATTCTTTGTTGGCACATGTATATTATTGAAGGTAAGCTTTTATTTATTATTGTGAGAATGGCACGTATATTTACGCATATTTTTTTTTTTTTATAATTTTTTTATTTCAAAGAATAAGCATGTTAAAGCAATTGCAAAAAACAATTACAGTACAGTTACATGGTAAACCTACATTTAACAATTTTACAATACAGTACAGTGGTTAAATATTTCGTCTTAAGAGACGTTATACCATTGGCATTTTTTTTATTTAAAGGAAAAAATCATCAGTTTCATTTGTTTAATTTTGTTTCCATGATTTTCCACTTATCGCCTCTGCCAACCCGTTTGTCCATAATAAAATATTCCTTCACATTACTTAAAAAACCTTTAAGTGTTGGTTTTAGCATAGAATATTTGCACAAATAAACATACCTTTTAAAAATACATAGCATATTATTTAAGATGATTGTCTTCTCATTTATACTCTCAGGTCCTATCAATACATTTTGTTTAGTGCATAGCAATGTGAGCTCTAAATTTACGCATATTGATATAAATGCATAGTTTAAAGAATACTAAGACTGAACCTTTTTTGCATTGATTCCCAGAATACTAAATTTTATACCCGGTCGTAGCTCAGTCAGACTTTGTTTTAAGTTTCAAGTATCCACCGCACTAATCTTTTGTTTTTATTTTTAACACCTCTGCTTTAATGCCGATACTTGATAGTATTTCGCGTCCATTGCTTTCTAAGTATATGAACCTGTTTTGTTTAATATAATCTATTTTATTGGAATTGCAGGAGGAGAGCTAAGCGAGTCGCTCTGTCAGGATGGTAGTATCAAATCAGCTGATTTTGCATGCACCTTTACTAAAGAGTGTCCCCGGTTAAGCAGGTGTAAAGACGGGGAGTGTTGCGAGCTTACGTGCAAAAAGGGTACACCAGTAAGAGACCCATTGACATCAGCAATAACAACCTGTACAAGGAAGAAAAAGGGCAAAATGACCTGTCCCGGTTCTGCCGCATGTGAAAAAATAAAAGCTGGCCAGCGCTTCAATAAAATATGCTGTACAAGATGTAAGTCGGTTTTCTCTCGTTTTCAAATTCAAATTATATCCAAGGCAAACAAAATTGACGAACGACTTTTTGGAAATGGATATTCAAATGCCATTTTTGATTAACCATGATGAACTACAACCGTGGGCGTAGTGACGCATGAGGCAGACCAAGCGAGGCATAATTTTACAGACAAATATGATAACTTAGGGTTTGACTAAAGAAAGTAGTTATCATTTCAGCTAAAGTTGCCAAGCCGTCATCTTGTAATGTAGAGGGAGATGTGGTAAAACGATGGGGAATGTGGTGGTCAAGAGATAAATGCCGAAAATGCAGGTGCAACAAGAAAAACAAGTGTCCTATAAAATATTTGAATAAACCCGGTTGCGGTCTTACAACCCCTGAGACTACGGCAATGGATTTGACGACAAAACCAAATGGTACGTGTAAATTGATTGAAGTACATTAATTTGAGTGACCGATCATCATTAAAACTGACATCAAGTGTGGTTTATGTATTATGGCCTCAATGTAGATAATGTGAGGCAATAAAATGAAAATTATATTTAGGTAAAAGTGGTTGTACATGTTCAGGGATTTATCTGGACACGATCGCTGCCTACATTGAGCCACACGAAGGATTAGAACTCGAGGCGTATGAAGACTCAAAGGGCATCGTCACAGTTGGTAGGTCGCTTACCTTTGCAATATGCAAACATCCTTGCGCCGATGTATTTAATCCTTGATGTAAAAAGAATCTTATCTGCGACATACTATATGTAAGTAGATGTATACGAGTATTTTTTATGAAGTAGGCCTGGCTTGCACAATTCTTCGCCCCCTTGTGAGGAATGTTCTTTTGAAAACAAGACGTAGACATGCTTCAATTTTGTTTGCAGGGATAGGATTCAATATGGAAAGAAGTGGCGCACGAGCAGATTGGAAAAAGCTTCTTCCTGGAGTTGATTTTGATAAGGTTTTCAGCAAAAAACTCAGTCTGACTAAGGCTCAAGCAAGAAAGTTGTTTATGGTACTAATCTCTTATTGATCCTTTACGACTGTTGATTTTGGGTTGAATAGAATATTTTAAGTAGAAACAACAGTGGGCTAAAAGACAATGTACAATCATGGATTGATATCTTATTCACAATAGATCATATATAACATCATATACAAGAAATGAGTACACGGGATGCTGAAAATAAGATCAGTTAAAGAGAGCAAAGTTAGACACGATAGATGAGTTAAAATCAAAACAGTTGTTCAGCTTCCAGATCTCTTATTCTACATTGCGATGTGTAAATTTATAGTAATCAAAACCGTTTGATTTCATCTAGGGTGATTTAAACAAGAAATTTATACCAACGGCAAAGAGACTCATTACCGGCTTTGAAAATATGTGTGGTGAACTTCAGGCAGCTATAGTAGATGCCCTTTATCGTGGTGATCTAGGTCCAAAGACCCAATCCTTGATAAACCAACGAAAGTGGAAGGAAGCCGGAGAAGAGTATATCGACCATGGTGACTATAGGAAGGCTGTTCAGGGTGTAAAAGGCTATGCGGGGATCAAAACAAGAATGGATCAGAACAAAGCTGTTTTTCAAAAACAAGGTAGGTAAGCCCCAACCACATTTGCTCTAAGGCGGCCGTAAGGCAGCCGTAGCTTTGCAAATCGACAGAAAATCTACATCGTACTGCTTATCCCTGGATTTTATACTGCATTTTTCTCTCGATTTGGGGTAGCTACGGCAACCGTACGGTCAAATCAAATGTGACTGAGGCATTTTTTATTATTGAAATCAATGTAACATATATACAGATTGTAGTGGCTATGACCCATAATGGTATTTACATGATATTATACATAATTGAGAAAATAAACTGATTTAATGGAAATGATTAAAGGTCTCTTCTACAATAACAGGTGCAAGCAATAAAAATGTGTATGAGGATATATAATTTCAATATTACATTATTAAAAAGTATGACATGATAACATCTTATGAGATTGTACAGTAGTTCAAGGAACTACTCCAAGTATATTAGTGTATGATTGTCTATATTATTATTACTTTGCATGAACACAAATTAACATTATTTTTTAATGAAAATCTAACTATTCTAGAGACTTTCTGGGTTCAAAATTCACTTTTTACTTTTATAGCATGGGTAGAGGAGGATGGAGGATGGGACCAATAGTATTGTGTAATATTTAGTGTCGATCTATAATTCCAATGAGCACTGATTTCTTTTTTTCTTTTTCTTTTCATTTTTTTCTTTTTGCTACTTGTTAATTTTTTTTTGTTTAATATAAAAAAGGATTATATGGCCCTTGTACTGTGCTGTATTGTATTGCATTGTTTTGTACTTTACTGTACTGTATTGTACTTCACTGTATTGTAAATTGCGTTGTACTTGAACGTTGTCATTTTCCTGTAAAGTATCGTAACATTAACAAGTACAGCAACTTTGTTATGTTGTCATTGTATATACACCTTTATGCTATTTAGCCTGAAATATAAAATGTTAAAAAAGTCTTATATTTTCATTAAGTCGGAAATGGCAACATGCAAGAGTGTGATGAAGAGAAGGTAACCGACAAGGTGACGCCAACAACAGGTACATGTTTATTATGGAATCCTAATTATGTAATATTCATATTTCGGTAGAATTTCATGACATGGTTGAGTAATATATTGCAATCACTAAATAAGAGATTGAAAAGGGTGAATTAATGAGATATTATCTTCAGTTACTGTTATTTTCAACACTGCACAGTTGCACGTTCATACGTAAAACAAATGTCAGACCAAAAATAATAAGCTATTTGTAACCCAATCCTATTTTTATTCTTTATTATTTGATTCCTTACTGTCTTGGGGAACCAAAGTCACACCGATTAAGAAATATAACGTCGTGTACATGTATCGTCCCTAATTCCTTTTACACATTATTTTTGGCGCATGCGTAAAGGTGTATGAACTTTCCTCAAGATTGGAGAGCTCTAAACAAAAATAGATTATCAATTTTCAATTTTTGATGATCGCAATAATATATTTTATGCTTAGTACAAAACAATTCATTGAGCATGCAGTCATAATTTATCTTCTGATTGAAATACACGATTTGCTGAGTCAACATAATATTTGTATATGATATAGATAATGTTGAAAATCATATACCTTGAAAACAAAATAAACAACATATTTGAATACTGAGTATTTCATTTTGAAAATGATAAACATGATAAATGAAGGGGTATGATGACCTCCAACTTCAAACATATTTCAAATGCATCATGTTAACTGTAATTTTCATTATATTTTACAGCGTATGAACAGGTTTTAATTACCATTTATCATTCAAAAATTCTAATTCTATTCAATATGATTAATGTGGCATTGGTAACGAAGAACTACCGGATTACTCTAATAAGCAGAAGACAATATAATCCTTGCGTATAGCAAATGAAAGATGCCAATTTTTCATTGCAGCTCCTACATTGAATGATAGCCAGAACGAATACTAGATGAGAGTACATTCCTTTTACATTGCAGCTCCTGTTTACAATGATAGCAAATGCTCAAGTCGAGGAGGTTCTTGCATGATGACTTCTGAAGATTGTGAGGGTAGCTTCATCATTAAGCAATGCGGAGGCCCTCCAGATAGACAATGCTGCATTCCCCCGAGCACACAACCCCCCGCAAATATGTAAATATATTACACAGACTAGAAAAATACAATTTTGATGTATCTCATTGCGTTTAGCATACGCTGTATAGAGATATGCTTATTTATTGTCGTACATTCGCAGCTAAGAACATATTTTGTAACCTTCCTATGTGAATTTTTTAGATTAAATGATTCGTTGATAAACGTGTAGTGTTGCTGCATTGCACTTGTTGCGCCATCAGTAAAATTACTTGTTTTATCATTGTAAATTAGATTTTGTTTGTGTAAAATTATACCAGGAAACACTTTCAGATCGTTTTACGTGTGTTTTATCGACTCTCAATACTTGTATCTATTTTTGAAGTCGGGACTATTGGGAGTATCAGTTTTGATTCATTCTTAAATATTATGTATCACGGTGTATATTGTATTATTGTCTTCAGTAAGAATAAAATGTAACCCCATGTTCTGGTATTTGATTGTCACAGTTGTTCCTGAATAATGTATATATGTGTGTGTGTGTGTGTGTGTGTGTGTGTGTGTGGGGGGGGTTAATGGACACTGTTTTCTACACGTTACTGATGTGTACATATGAATGCATTTCGTAAGTTGCTATAAAGTAGGAGTTGTAGATTTGTATACCTTACTAGTAAATAATTATCTCTTGTAGCACATCAGTTAGGCTACGGATGACCTATGAACTACAGGTTGTGAGTTGCCCACTTTCGTTAACACAAACATCGGAGGCTTTGGAAAAGATCTTCACAAATATTTTAGCTGAACTTTGTGAATCTTGCAAATTTGAAAATACAATTAAGTATTGCGGTTTACCGACAGCTGAAGCCCTGCCTAGACCGGTGAAGCGTTCAGTAGAGAGGGTAAAACGTGGAAGTGTCTCACTATTTCAAACTCTGATTGGAGCTGTAAAATCTAATACAATGGAATATTCAGGATCATTAGACGATTTAAATAATGAACTCAAATCATACGCTGATAGAATAAGTACAGCTATAATTTCCACAAGTATACCAGGAATCACTGTTACCGATACTCCCATAGTATCTATAACATCTAAAGACGGTAAGTACATATTGGACTGCGCGTGTGTAATTGAGTGAACGATTTTTAAAAAATGGTACTTCGTGTATGTCGTGAGTTCGTAAATACGACGTACTGTACTTAAATTGGAATGGGGCACATCGCATTGCAACATTTACCACGGTGTTATAGTATGACGGTTACGACAAGGCAATTGGCAAAATTTTGCGGTAACAATAACAAAAAATGGCGGATGGGAAAGACAGCATGTCCTCTTTTTCGCCTGTAGGCAAGATTCACAGGTATTTCCTTTTAACTATTTCCATTCGGTAACGTATATGTGAATGGTTATAAAGACTGAGTTAAATCGGTCGTGTGGTCTACAAAAAGCAGAATATAAGCTGTAAACCTACCCGGCTGAGATTTCGAACTTCATAATTTTTAGTCCTTTTTCGTGTTTTCTCAGTATATGTGCCTCAGAGCCACTCAAACTATTAACAGTAATAATTATAAGTAAACTGTGTTTAAACAAGCCATAAAATTAATAAGGTTTAAAACGCAATGTCGTTAGACGACTACGTATGAATTCTATGGACGGTAACGTATTGTATTAGATGTACATTAGATATTAAGCGGACGGTTACGTGCATGTACATCTTTCAAGTTAAGGTTGCTAGTTCTGATAGCCTCTTTCCATGTAATTGTTATAATGGGTAAGAAATGTTTTCAGGACTCGCAAGAGACCCTCTTGTTTGAGCCTCTATAGGGCAAGGAAAAAATTGTGTCTTGCTTTATATATGAAACCAATTTAAGTAAAAAAGATAGCAATGAAGAGGCAAAAGAAGAATTAGCATCAAGTACTGATGAATATGACAAAATTAATAGCAATGAATCTGAGATACATATTTGAACGAGGTTCGCGTAACCGTCAATCAATTTTTTGCGTAACCGCAAATTAAAAATACAATATTATGGCTTAAGTAGAACATATTAGGTGGTTTCCAATGCTCAATTGGCTTTTTATGATCGTATGTAGGTTACATCTATATACCCCGAGGTCGTTAGGCAATGTAGACCATGCCCTTACGATAAAAATAAACAAATAACTAAATTTTGTGTGGTTTTGAATTTCAAACTCAACAGTTTTTCGCTTATTTCATGTTATCCCCGGGCATCAATTTGCAAAGAATACGTTCAAAATATACATTACTAAATGCATCACCGAATGCCATGCCTACAGAAATCGTTCATCCTTTCATTGATACACAGTAGAAGAAAATAATGCACCAACCTTAGTTTTCTGTTCCATCGCGGCCATTTTATTGGATAAATCAGTAATCGTAGTCGTCTAATCTCGTTTTCAGAGGTGTCGTAACCGTCATGCTATAACACCGTGTTTACATATGAGTCGCTGTTGAAAGATTTTTTACTGAAGAAGTTCTATTAACCAAAAATAATTGCACCATTTTTCTTTTTTTAGGAAAATGTTTCTTATATACGAACCTGACTTATGAATCTAAAACGATTAATGGGTATGTTTTAATTATGTATTTATATTAATTGAGCCAGGCCACGGGAAAAGGGGTCTTATCACAGATTTTTTCAATATTTTGATTTTTGTTTATCTTTAAAAGTACAAAGAGACCTTTCAAATGATCCATGGCTTATGTCTTAACTTTTTTTTTCTTGCAGATATAGACCAAAAGACGGATTTGAATTTAGCACATTTCCTCTTAATCTTGAGCACATTTTTGGCTCTGTAGCACAATTTTAATTTTTGTGATAAGACCGGTTTTCCCATGGCCAGGCTCAATTAGTATTTGGTATCATGGTAAAAATCTTTCAAAAACATCATTTAAAAGTCTAAAATAGTTAAATGTTAATGCAAAGTCAATTTGTATGTCCTTTCATCCTAAATTGTCTCTTCGTGGATGCTGATAAGGTCCATGCTATTTTTAGAAATAATTCATATTATTTAATAAGTGTTCCCTTGAAGCACTTGGAAAATAATTTTTAAAATCAACTCATTTGGGATGACAGTTTTATGATGTGCGTTTTAGTGAAAATGGAATCTGTATCGAGGAGATTGGAGTTTGTTTTACAAGGGGGCCATTTGGCATGTTTCCCGAGACACCAGATGATATAGAACTCAGCATGTTTTTGTACACACGAGAGAGTAGAGAGTCGTGGAATTGTCTATCACCTGAGTTCTCAACCAGGTATGTCCCACTACTTCATAAAATTAAACAAAAGGCAATTCTAGAGAATGCAGAAATCAAGTTGAATAATTAATGGAATACACTGAGAAAATATACAAAATAAAACAGTTGTATTTATTTAAATATTCAATAAATATCTGATTTGAAGGTCTTCACGGTTTACACCTTTCTCTGGCGTAACTAGATTCAAGTTATGTTGTCCTTGTTTTAGCCAATCCAATTATAGGGAGGTTAAGCTTGCAATCTTTTTCACAACCTAAACGTGAACGGAAATTATCTAAGCGATGCATTTGTATGGGCGATTGGTCATACGTACAGGTTGGCGTTTCGATTTTATATGCAAGCTTAAATTCCCTAATACCTCGACAGTGTCCATTGTTTCATATGTAATAGTAATGTTTTATGAATTTTTCATCAATATTTACGTTCGAGCAATTTTTCTTTATCGTCTACTATGTTAGTTCACTACATGATACACGTAGTCGCAGAATATACACTATATATAATTTCTACCATGGTACATACTCCATGGTATATACAGTTGAAAGCGAGGCTGCAGCTGGATACTGCACGTGGCAGAGGAATACGTACAATAATGTATGTGTAATAGTGTATGTATGATTGGTTCTTATCAAACGAGATTTGTGAGAAACATTCCAATGATATAATAAATCTATCTATATGTATTTCATACCTACTGAGGTTCTAGGTACATAACGAGCGGGAATAAATAGTGTATCTTGGGACCGGGATGGTTACACGCTGTATGAATTTTTCTTTTCAATTTTTTTTCAAAATCTTTTTTTTAAAACTTGTTTGTCAAATTTTTTTTTCAACATTTTTTTTTCAATTTTTTTTTCAACATTTTTTTCAATCTTCTTTTTTTACTTTTTTTTCAAATTTTAAATTTTTATTAATTTTTTTTTCACATTCTTTTCAAATTTTTTTCCATTTTTTTCAAAATTATTTTTCACATTTTCTTTCAATTCTTTTTTTTTAATTTCTTTTTTTCAAATTTTTCGAAAATCTCGCAAACTTTAAGACCAAGAAAACGCCTAGTACCTTGTTTTGGAATTTTTGATCTTTATAAGGTATGATGTACCTAGAACCTCAGTAAGTAGGTATGAAATACATCTGTTATGTACGGTCGGTTTGGGATACAGGGTTTATCCTGCGGGAAATATATATTTCCCTTGGGATAAACCCTGTATCCAAAACCTCCCAGTACATAACCCTTATATATTATTATATACTCCTTTTTCCCTACTCCTTACTAGCCTATCAATGTCAATTTATTCCTCTAGTACAACCATAGACACAAATAAACCAACTAAGGTGATTGTACATGGCTATAATGCAGATGGACATGACACTACAGATTGGCCTCATGAAATGAGAAGGAAGTTGCTTAAAGAGGTAAGCTTTAATGCAGAAATAATATCCTATGCAACAACATTTATTTTATGAATTAATAGTGAATTTTTTTTCAACATGTTACAGTCCGTGTATGTATTAATTATACGAATTATTCATGAATATATTAGTTATATGAATTATTCATGAAAGAAATCAAGAGTAAGAAATTGAATGACTTGAATTTAATATTTCGACAAAATTCATTTTTTGAGAAAGTTTTTTTTAAAGATAGCATGATCATTTTTAGGGCGATTACAATGTTGTTGTTGTTGACTGGTCTGAAGGAGCTGACGTGAAAGCTCTCAAATTAAGTCTCGGAGTACTCCTACTTGCGCTAAAAAAGTTCGACAAAGGCACAATCCTCACTATTGAAGGGGTAAAGGAATTTTATGGTGCAGCTGCCACCAATACTCAACTGGTGGGTCATATGATTTACTCAATGCTGAAGCATAAGAATGTGAATATGGGTGATGTCCATTGCATAGGGCACAGTCTGGGTGCCCACGTATGTGGATTTCTTGGTAATTCGGCTGGAAAGAACACTGTTGGTAGAATATCTGGTAATACATACAAACATATATATTTATTTTTATGTTTGATTCATAAAACATAGAACTCAGAGGCAGTTGCCAATTAAATATAGTCTATTGTTAATGGCCTTGAAAATGTGTAAACTACTTTATACATTTAGGCTGATTGTAGTCTTTCAAATATATGTTTGAAAGCGTTCAACTAAAGTTTTATCACAGCGGATCAACTGGAAACGAAGACAGGATGATCATCACCTTTGTCTTTCAACTAAATGCCAAGCCCACTGGCGGATCTGAGGGGGGGGGGTTATGGGTAGCGCCCTCCCCTCCCTGGGAAGGGCCTTATAAAAAGATTTGGCCCCAAAAAGTATATAGGGCCTCAATAGATGAGTCTTTTGGGCACTACTTGGACCTTGCGTTTTCTAAAATTTGGGCCCAAATTTTGATGTAAGTTGACATCCATTTTTTCTGTCTTGAATTGTCCTTCCCATTGTTAGCTTCCAGATTCGCTACTTTGGCCCGTATGTAGTGCGTAGGTTCCGGTTTGGAAATTAGGTTATACATGAAAAGATATATAAGATGTACATACAGTGATTGTGGTCAGTTACAAAACTATTCCCTTGCTAATGCCGAGGTCACATTTGCTCCGATTCATCGGCTGTTGTCCGGCCGATTGAATATTTTGTTCAAAATCGAAGGTCAAATCTCAGATTTGGGGTCATATGTGAACTCCTGAGAACTTGCACATGATTTTAAAAAAAATTGGTCAATTTGAAGCAAGGTGAAATCAGTTTTGAACAAAATAATGTAATCAGCCGGGCGTCGGCCGATGAATCGGGGCAAATGTGACCTAGGCATTAGAAAACGAACAAAGTTTATCAGAGAAACGAAGACAGTACCTAGGTTTCTGAAGCATTAAACGAAGACAGCGCATTTCAGTTATATCTGAAGTACATAAAGTGAAGGGGTTACGTAGTCAAAAAGCTACATCCCTTAAATACATCTACAGTATGCTTTTAAGTGCAAATGTGACCCTCATTAAGGATATTAATACGTTGATATGATATGCACAAGTAAAAACGAAATCAATGTCTTTGTTGCAAATAAAAAATGTTTTCGTAATATTGCTACAAAACGGAAAATCTTCGTTTCCAAAAAGAGGAAACTACTGTAATTCGTAAATATCGAAATAATAACTATATTCTGAGATGTTATCATTTTGCAAAACCGAAACATACGCACTATTGGCCAAATATGAATGAAGATGACAAAATCAAAAATTCGGCCATGATCGGCCATGCTGAAACAAAGGCACTAAGCTTATGTCTTCGTTTTCAGTTGATGCTTAGTGATTAGCATGAATGTGAGACAAAAGCTTATAGACTACAGCAATATATTATTTCGAACCAGTCGAATGTTTATTTGCCATCGTCTTTCAGGAATGGATCCTGCAGCACCAAAGTTTGAAGGAAGCGAAATTGAATTCAGGCTTGACTCCTCTGATGCTAAATTTGTTGATATAATACATACAGATGCAGATATGTATGTCCATTCATATATAGCTTTTAATGTCACCGCCAAAAGTGGTGACATATTGTCATGGCCTCAAATTTGTAACGGCGGTTTGCCTTCGGCATCTGTAACAAATATAAGGTGGTGACATTTTGCATGTTAAAGCCCTTTATGAAATTATATTATCCAAACAAAATTTACATCGTCAATCGCCACAATATAGCGTCTTCGATATCGTCGATGACAACGGAATCTAAATTTTAGATTTAATTGACCATATGCCGTTGTAAATTATCCCATCACAACATATACATTATCACAAGAGCTTTAAATATGTTAGTTTAATTGTAAATGTGACATAACTTCCGCATCAAATACGGGAATAAAGATAGAATTGAAGAGAAAAAGTTAAAAAATGTAGGTATGACGTGCACGGACCTGGGGACAATTCGGGAAATACGGGCTAATCTCAGCTTTAAGCGTTAATATCTGGCTTATTTAAAAAGCTAACTATGTGCATTATATATCATTTTGAAGTATTTTTTATTCGCATTTCACTGAAATTATTTTTCCTCGAAAAGTGTGATGGGATCTACCATATTTTTGAAGTTAAATGTACTCCGACATCGTCAAATACGCTGTAAGGCGTAACATTTCGCGCTTACATGGTTCGTTGAAATCGGGATAACTTTTGAAATACTGATCAGAATTATACTAAAATTTCACATTTTATTCATTGATACATGTGCTTTTATGACGTCACAATTGCCTAGCGGCTACAGTTCAAATCGTCTTATATGAACGCTTTTAAGATTTTCAAAATTGTGTAAGGTTTTGAAGGCGAAGGAGACAAGCAATAAGTTTACCTTTATTTAACCTTCTAATTTAGGTCTGATTTCAAAAAAAATTTAACTGCACAATATTGTCATGGCGAAATTTACAAAACAATAACCGATTTCTTTATTTTTCAAATAATAAGAGAATAAGAGTTGCTTTTAGAGACTTGAAAAAATGTAACGCATCGATTTTTTACCACAAATCCAATACACATCAATTTTTACTAACGCCCCGAGTCGATTTCCTGACCGTTTTTCAAAAATCAAAAACATTTTAGAAATATTGTCCTCGAGATCTTGTTGCTCTGTGAATTTTACCAGGATTGGATAAGAATAAAGCATCTTATTTTTAGGTTGACTAAACTTGACAAAATGTAACGCTTGTCGTTTTTGACGTTATAATGCTGATTGCGCCCTATACTGCCCATTGTATTGTTTTGGTATTTTGACGCCATAATGTTACTCTAATTGTCCCCAGTTTCGTGCGACGTGTAAGGACACTTTCGGAAAAAGTAGTAAAATGGAAGGCTTGTATTTCATGTTTACGGATTTTTCTAAGCAGCAATAAATATGATTTTATGTTAATCTATTCATTTTTCCTGAATGTAAACAATATAGTTTTAGCTTCTGTGATGTTAATACAACTTTTTACTGTGAAAACTTTTAAAAAACACGAGTAACACAATAAATTCATTTACCATGATACAAGTTTAGGGTTCATTCCTTTGAACTTTCAATCAGGGCTCTTGATTTCCACTAAGCGCAAGTACAGTAGTAGAGTATGGACTGTGTCATAAACTGTCATTATGGGCAATAATGCAAAATTATTATATGGGAGAAAGGAAGTTTACAAATCAAAATCCCACCAAAACACGAAAATGCAATTAAGAAACGATTTAAGTATGTTGAATGCAACACGTCAAGATCGCATTATTTGTTCCCAAAATGTAATAGTATTTCGAATATTTCAGACTTGGTTTCCTACCACAACTTGGCCACGTAGATTTTTATCCGAATGGAGGCCGAGACCAGCCAGGTTGTCTCTTATTCACCTGTGATCATTCGGTTTCTCATCAGCTCTACCTTGAGTCAATAGACAAATCCTGCGCATTCTATTCCACTCCATGCAATTACAGTAAAATTTACTCAAAAGATGGTGGTGTGAGTAATAGTTTATCTAAATCTTTAAACATCCATGATTAATTTTAATGAAAATTAACTAATCCCTGCTCGATTTACCATGTTTTAATTTCTAAAATTTTGCATCTGATTTCAATCTGTACTTTACCATGCATCCAACATTATGCTATCATTCATTTTCAACTGAGCATGATAAATAGGTGTTAAAAGTTTAATACCCGATATATTCATATGCTTACGTTTACGTTCCTAGATGTGTTATGCTACTACTGTTGATTCATGCTCAATGAACGTGATGGGGTACTACTCAGATAGATATAAGGACCAACATGGGGCGTTTTATCTCAAGACAAATAAAACTAAACCAAGATGCAATAGCTTGGGTATGATATCTGTCATCTGGTTTCTTGCACAAGTATATCAGCTAGAGTGAAAAACCTCAGTTTCCACTTTCTGAGGTATTAAAAAAGGGATGTGTCAGTTCCCGAGCACACAAAATTAAATTATCTTTGACTACAAACATTTTTATATATGCACTAATATGGCCCTTATTGAAATAAAGCGACCACCATATGCAACTATCGTAAGTAATTTAAATATCAAAGGGAACTCATCACGCATTAAATATACCCACATTTGACTAATAGCTCTTACTATAGACAAAGTTTTTCAAAATGAGAGTTGATCTTTAAAACTATATAGCTTAACCAACTATAGAATAAGGTAATTGCTGTAGTCTATATTTCAGTAACAACATCACCATGTGGGACTACGCAGAGCGCGCCGGGTAGCACGACCAAATATAGCACAGTCAAAGCCACTACAAGTCCCAACTACGATGACAGTCGATGTGATAGTTTGAATGGAGAATGTAAACTAACATCGGCTGGTTGTGCCGGAAACTTTGTAACAGGAGAGTGTGGTGGTCCAACAGATAGACAATGTTGCACTCCCTTAGGTACTAGTATATATAAAGATTAAGCATTTTATATAATATTGCAATTGATCAGTAGATATAAACAGTTAACCCTGAATCAAATCCCCTGTGTTAAGAACTGTTTATTGAATTATCCAAAACCATGTACTTCCTCAATATTATTGTTCAAACTTTCAGTGGTGTATGACGATAGTAAATGTGAATGTCTCAAAGGAACATGTAAGCTAGTCGCTAACGGTTGCAGTGGAGGAAACTTTTACACCGGAAAGTGTGGAGGCCCGGCAGATAGAAAGTGTTGTGTACCAACAGATCCGAACTATAACGATGCATCATGTGAATCAAGACAAGGTGTGTGCAAGATGACTACGACCGAGACGTGTAGCTGTGGACAATTCTACTCTGGTTTCTGTGGTGGACCCTCACACAGGCGATGTTGTATCTCAGACTAGATCTTGTATGGCGTATTAATTTATTAACAGTAACAATTACTCAGACTGTTAAACTAGAACTTGATTGATCAACAAACTTGGATTATCTTGGATGTTGATTGGGAATTAATATTTAGCTCTGTACAGGCATGTTTTAAGAAGACTGAAAATTGACTGAAAATCTCATATTGTCTTTATTTATTCTATATAGAATATCATAGATGTATGTTAGATGTACACGCATTGTATTTATAACAATCAAAGTCAGTTGATTGTGAAATATAAAAACAGTGTGACCTCAGTAAAACTCTGGAACGTGTTGGATATAATTAAAGCTATATCACTCATGTAGTGCATATATTGTATTTTAATATAGTTTAGTGCTAATGTTAGTAACTGTTCCGAGCGAAATTTCTAAGATTATTTTACTGGATATTATCACTTAAGTGTTCAGGGTTTTGCTTATCAACAAGGAGTTATACTTAGTAAATATGCCCACTAACACGGGGCAGCACCTGTCCCAGTGTAAATGAGTATAACCGGTTATGAAAGACACGGTCATTAAAAATGGAATATACTGTACAGATATATATCGTGAGTCCCAAAAAGTGTTTTCTCAGCAGTTGATTACTTAAATTGCTTGATAATTTCTATAAATTGGCCAAAGGGTATCATTAGCAAGTTGTACTAATATGAAAGAGATTAGTTAAAACATATTATGTAAGAATTGACAAATTCAAAAATGTATGTCAAAAAATCCAATATCAGAGCTGCGTAATGAGACCTATATATTTGTGTCTGTTATCAGTCTTGTTTAGTCTCAAAACAGCTAAGTATTTTCCTCGCTGGTTAAAAAAATTTCAAACATAAAGAGGCTTTAACACGTAGCTCAATGATGGAGCTAAGGTTGCCAAACTTATAGTGTGAGGTTCCATATCCATCCGCCAAAAGGTATGACCCTTACATGTATGTAGTCCATTTAAGAACCCGTGCTCTTGTTCTAAAAAACGCCACAGTTGGCTTCTAGGGCACATAGTATGTCATTAGTTGGCATCAAAATAAAAAGGAGAAGTTCAACTCTCATTTAACAAAACAGCGATGTGGATCAAAAATATTTCCAACGCAGGGTGACCGGAAAAAAGGAGACCATTGAAGTAATCAATTTCTCCTAAACTAGACAAGTGCCATCAATGAAATTTTGCATACACTGGAACAGTTATATGAAAATTTGTTACTGAAGGTTTCAATACAAGCATTCAACTGGTTCAGGAGCTATGATCATTTACATAACATGCTCCAAATAGGCACAATTGAGACCAACGCAGAGTTGGATTCATATGGCAAACTACCCTTACATGTTCTGCCCTCTATGGCATTATTATGGCATTACATATAGCAGTGATTGCCTTCTTTAGGTCAACAATAGTCTGAGGATTGTTTTGGTATAGATTGTCTTTCAAATATCCATACAAAAAGAAATCAGCAGGATTCAAGTCTAGGCTGTAATGGCAATGAAGGGTTATCTGACATGTGGTTCATCATCCTGTTGCCAAAGTGCTGATTTACCAAATCTTAAGAGTCACTTTAGGTATTGGGCATAGTGCCATGTTACTAAAACCACTATATGGCACAATTAAATCCCATATGAAAACCAAGGGCTGCCCAAAACCTCCTTAGGATGATACTGTAACTGAGTGGGACCACTGAGTCAGAAGCCATAGGTCAGATAAGCTTCGTCTCCATACACCTCAAATTTGAATCCACCTGATTTCTTTTTGTGGGGCAATTTGAAAGACAATGTGTACCAAAACAATCCTGAGACAATTGCTGACCTAAAGGTGGCAATAAATGCTAAATGTAATGCCATAACAAGGTCGGAATATGTAAGGGTATTTGCCAAATGTATCCAGCTCTGCGTTGGTCTCAATTGCGCCTATTTGGAGCATGTTATGTAAATGATCATAGCTCCTGAACCAGTTGACTGCTTGTATTGACACTTTCAGGAACAAATTTCCATAGAACTGTCCTGATGTATGCAAAATTTCATTGATGTCACTAGTCTATTTTAGGAGATATTGCCTATTTCAATGGTCTCCTTTTTTTCCGGTCACCCTGTATGTACTACGCGTGTGCCCGTCATCTCAGAACTGAGCATATGGTAGCAAACGCAAGTTACAATAAATGGATGCTGATATCTCGAAAAGTAACCGGACTCCCTATAATTTGATGTAGATCAATCGAACCCATACATGAACAAGTACATTTTGATATATAACACAATGGGGGGGGGGGGGGTAAGCGTTTCATATTTGGTCATGGACGTCATATGTGCAACTGCAAAGTACTGTTCAGAATTTTCAAATTTCGTGTTAGATTACGGTACTCACACCTTTTGGAGGGGAGTGTATGTTGTTTAAGTTCACACGATTTGAACTTGGTGTAAGGTGATACGTTACTAGTATACTAATTTTCAAAGGACTAAGCGATATGGCGTCATAGTTCTAATAACTATCCGTCTCAATTTTGGGGTTCCAATACTTTTTAATTAATGACCTTATTCTGTCATCTGGCCCTGGTAGATGCCCTGGTATCTTGACGGGACTTTATAATTGACGCTGTTTCTGTCGAATAAGTCAGATATTTACATGTCCAACAAGGCCTGGTTCCAGGTTGTAAGCCCCTTATTCCAACATAAACGTTCTATATAACAAATTCCATCTGCGTACATATAACTGAATAGTAACTTATAATTAACTCTGTCAATGGTTGTCAGGATATTTCTCTAGAATGAGATTTCTCATGTTGTGAAAGTTTCATGAAGAAAAAAGCAAGAGAACAATTGAACATTTTGCGTCTGTAACAAATGGCAGGTGATGACATTTTGGATGTTATGTCTTGTTAAACATTATATAGTGACTGTAGGCTAAATCACGATTATGATAGAAATGTATTAAATAAAAAGCATGCTTTCAATCATGAATTGTCATAACTATACATGCCTGCATTTTAAAAAGTGTAGGTTAAATCATGAATTATATTGTTCTATATTACAATGGTAACAATACAAAAAGTAAATGACATTACTAGCTGTTTCAATATTTTGTAACATTTCCAGTATAAATATATCGTACTCTTTGGCGATACCTGGAAATTGCATCATCTAGTTTTCAATCATACTGGCAAGAGTTTTCGGACATCAATTTTCGAAATGACGAACTCTACATTAGTTGTTCTGTTGGTCGTTCTTCTAGGACATACAATTACAGGTACTGTACAATATATAAATTATAATTTCTGCTTTTTTCGAAAGAAACACATTGTACACCCTTATTTTCAATAATAACTATTGACATATGCACTGGTATACCCTCTTATGGGTGTCTAGTGCCGATCCTTATTATCATTACTAGAGAATTATATTAAATATAAATAAAATACAAATATTAAATAAAATAGACACTAGGTCAACAGAAAGATGCCAGTGAGAAGTCTGTTAATCTATATCATTATCATCTGTATATTTATACAGACCTGTCGATCTGTTGATCAAATGGCTATTGGTACTATATTTTACATATTAATACTTTAGTCAATCATGATACTATAGTAATGCTATTTTTAATCACGCAATAATAGCTCATTTATAGAACTATTCCAATGAGAGATTTCGATCTTCAATGTTTCAGCGACTTGTCCAAAATGCGGTTCTAGCTGCAGATACCCATTCAAGACGTGTTGTAATAAATGCTGTGTCCGACGAGAAGGTCGAAACTCGGCATGCTGTGGAACTCGTGCTTATAATCCTGATTTCTATACGTGCTGCAATGGTACAATCGTTTCTAAACCTGGTTCAAACTCTAGGTGCTGTGGAACTCGTGCTTATAATCCTGGTTTATATAGGTGCTGTGATGGTACAATAGTATCTAAACCTGGTTCAAACTCGGCATGTTGTGGAAAACATGTTTATAATCCTAGTTTCTGGAAATGCTGTGATGGGATAATACGACTATGGTGCTGATGTACACAGGTTAATGAGACACGGTTTCAAGAGGCAGGATTGCAAAAACAATGTCGTTTTATATGTTGAATCAAAATAAACAATTAAAAAATATAATGTAAATTTAAATTCTTATTGTTGAGTTTGTTTTTAAATCGCTTATCATGTCTTATACACATATTGCCCCCCCCCCCTTCCACCCCCTCCGTCCCATTTAAATTATTTTCGATTATTTTTTATATCATGTTTGGATTTATTCTATAAAGTCAGCAATGGCATAAATTCAGTTATTATAACGTTACCTACAAGTTTTTATTACAGGTCGTGTCTACTATTGTTGCTCTAATTATGGCAAAAACATTGACTTGTGCACATTGATGGCCTTGCGCCTTTTTTGTAGATCTCGATCCCATATCTTAAAAGTGTATCGCGGTTCAAAAAAATCGTAGAAGACCTAACATATTTTACCATCCCGCGCGCCTATTCATTCAGGAATTCAATTGTAATTTTTTTTGAAAAAATAAATCTTCCAGATTTTAAAAAAAATTCCAGCAGAAATTGACTGCTCCCCCTCCGTCCCATTTTCACGACCAGCGGACGTGTATATACTAAGAAGATAGTGACTTCACTAATTTGCATACTATTGAGACAACATGATGGAAGGACTGAAGTTTGAAACCAGAAGAGTATAATAAAAAGTGTGCTACTGACTTTTCTGAAAGTATTATGCAAAATGTCCAGTTTCATCTCTAAAAAAATTCGGATTCGTTTTTGGGTAGCCATCGTGATAACCGCACCTGTGTAAATGCACCAAGTGCACCAAAGAAATAGACCCGTCATAACTTGGGCTGATCAAAAGAGGTAACCTTTTCGGATGCCATAAAAAACATTTAATTACATCCTTTTTTGGGAAAATGGAGGATGTATAGGATATTTAGAATTTGAATTTCAGATGTTGACTCACTTATTGTGATTGGCATAATAATGATGAAATATACATTTTTAAATTACATCAATTTGGAAAAAAATTAAAGCATAGGATATTAAAATGTTGAAATTCGGATATTACCCAAATTACAGATCCTGACTATGTAATGATAAATTAACCATTTATTTCCATTTTATAATATTCATACTAATGTTATCCCAATGAAAAACTGTCCGTGTCTTCATCATATAACACAGCATATGCATTTTAGCTAATTTCATCTATAAAATTCACCGCTAGGCTTGTCTTTCCGAT